GATCACAGCCATTTGGGAATCTATTAGGATCCTCAACTTGAGTCTGTGGAGGATTTTGGAGGAAAAGGCCATGGTGTGTGTCTTGCAAGGAGTTCTCAGCCCTTCTTAGTCTCCCTTGTTCTCCACCCATTCATCACTATCACCTTGTCTTATTGCCATGGTAATGGGCTTCACCTCTCATCTGGAACCTTCACCTGTCATCTGGGACCTTCCCCTCTCATCTGGAACCTTCACATGTAATCTGGAACATTCACCTCTCATCTGGATCCTTCCTTTCTCCCCAGGTTTCTTGGTGGTATTCCTCTCTGAAACATCTCCAATGTGAATTACAACACTGATGATGTTTTATCCTTCAGTATCATCATAGCATGTACATGTATAATGGCTACATGTTCAGGTTGGCTCATCAACAAGACATGTCTTTAGATGCAATGGAAGGTCTGTTACCAGAGATAAGATCTAGTATCACCAAGAGTAAATGACAGGTGGTTATTCAAGGCTGATTTTAGAAAGACAAGGAAAGTCATAGAAGGACACTTACTAGGCTTATCTGAAAACCAACCAACCTTTACTGGTGTTCAAGTTTGTACTATGTTAGTTCTGAGCACTGTAGGAAATTGGAATGACCTTGGAATCCAGGGTGCAGTAGGACTTGTCCAAGTTTTCCTGTGAGTGGCTGTAATATGATACAGTATGATACAGTTTCCTTTTTACTACTTTCAGAAACCTGACTATGTGCAGGGACTCTCTGCCATTAACTCAAAATATGCTGCCTGTTTGCAAAACTTAATCATATCTGGACTGTTGATATTCCAACTATGAAGAATCGGGCAGACTGGTTGGTTTATTGCACCCTCAGCTCAGTATCCATCCACTCTGCTCAGTCTGTGGGATGTAGTTACAACCCAATAGCATCTGGTCTCAGGGTCTTAGGATGGCCTAGTGTATATAATCTGGGGAAGACTAGGGAAGGATTTTCTTCAGCACAGCCATGGTGAATCCATCATCTATGCTGAATGTGGACCTTTCAGTGAAGTTTCTTTAAATTCACACATGCTACTCCCCATAACCTCTGACCCATTCCCTGGAGATAAGTCCAATAAACTCATTGATTCCTCAGAGGTAATGTTGCAGGGTTAAATTTTGGTTTGTCTTTGGCACTTAGAGGGAGAGAGCAGGTGTT